CCCCAAAACCCCAAAACCCCAAAACCCCAAAACCCCAAGCTGGTCAGACTCGACTGAACCCTAGTAGTATTAATAGACCCTCAAACAACCTCAAATATGGATTCAAAGTAAATTCCTAAATTTCAGAATTTGGATGAGCTAGAGAAGTAATAGAAATGAAGGTCTCTGGGTAATTAGGAAGAGACGTTAGTGGGACAGATGGAGTTTAGAGGGAATTTTTATGGTATTTTGAAGGGTTATTGGTTGGATTCTGGGGTGACGATGAGAGAGGAATGAAAGGATTCCTCTTCATCGAGTTTTTTAGGCAGATTCTTGGCCTGGGGCTTTGGGAGTGTCTCTTTTTGTCTCAGTAAGTCTCCCTTGATTGATATTCCTAATCCAACTGTGATTCCGAGAGCTCCAAGATATGTGATTATGCCAGGCATGTTGTCTTGGCCGAGTATGCATGATAAGCTTTGAGAAAAAGCAGGTTCTAGGAGAAATATGCTCCCAACAATATGTGGTGGGAAGAAGTTCAGAGTGAACACATAGCCTCCAACTCCTAACAATCATGAGAATGTTCCAACAAAAACAAGTGAGAATACCAGATAAGTGTCAGAAGCCCACCCAAACATTCCAAAATGAGGGTCAAAAGAATAAAATTTGTCAGTATCCATGACACAAATGTAGAAAACAAAGTAAATAATTAGCTGGAATACAAAGCTTACTTCAAGAATAACCATTGTTGGAAGCTTCTTAAGAAGTCTTGCACTGACAATGTAATACATAGCATATAAAGGAGTAGTGGCCAAAGCCATGATATCCCCTAAAAGAATATTTGTTTGCCCATTTGTTTTGGTGGAAGAACTATCATTCATAAAAATGATTGCAAATATTACGACTACTATTGTACCATAAATCTCCAAACGATGCACTGGAGCTAATCTCAGAAGATTAACCATCACAATGAACACACCTCCCATATTAGAGAGGAGGGCAGTATGAGATACCAGTGTAAAATCTGAACTCCATAGATAAAAAGTGGATGCAACTGTCCACAACAATGCATGGGCTAAAAATTCCAAATAAGTATCTCTGGAAAATATCTTCTTTGTATCAATAGATTTCCTGTTGAGATACAAGAAGTATAACCCACAAGGCAATCAGTAGATAACTATAATCTGCCATCTCCAGACTGTTCTCAAAAGAATATTAACTTCTTTATATTCATCAGCTAAGGGTAAGATAGAAGCTCCTCCTCATAAAGCCAAGATTGTGAAGACAATACCTAAAGATAACATTGTAATTTACCAAGAAGGATATTCTTCGGCTTTTCTTGCTTATCTACTGCTTCTTCATCTCTGAATGAGACTTCGAAAGATTGCATGCTCATTTTATATTTTAATATTGTTGAGGTTGCTATATTTTACTAATATATTGGGGTTTTGGGGTTTTGGGGTTTTGGGGTTTTGGGGTTTTGGGGTTTTGGGG